ATTCATTAATAGCAGTAATAAAGCACCATGGAAAACGAACTAGGATCGGACATTGAACTGATCGAAGATGAGAATATGCTACGGGAAATGGTACGAAATGATTAAATTTGTTTAAAAAAAATCTAGTTATTTACTTTTCTTTTCTTTTAGTGGCAAAAAACCGAGGACTATAGAAAAAAGAAAGAAATTCGTATGAGGATGTTTAAACTTCGGAAAAGACATCTTAAAGAACTTTACACAACGGAAGATATAATTCAAACTAATAATACATCGGAACGCTCTTCGACAAGCACTCATACGAAATCTATTACGGATAATGGATTTATAACGAAGAAAACGAAAGAGATTAAAGATTCTCAATCACCCTCACAATGTTACATAAAAAAATTAAATACTAATACTAATTTTCGAGTAAAAGAAGTAACACCAAAAGAAAAATCTCCAGTAAAACAACGAGAACATTTTTCAGTTAAACAATTAAATTCTTTAATAAAAGAAATAAAACCATCTTCTGAAGAAAAAGATGAAAAAGATTTAGATAATGAAACTACATTTACAGTTGCAGATAGAGTGTCTAAGTTTTTTAAAAATGTTCCCGAAAAAAATGAAGAAAAAACTGAAGAGACCGTAAAAAATCTTAAGGACGAAAAATATGATACAAAAATTATACACATTGATGTTGACGATTCGTCAAAGAATGCAAACATACACAACCCCATTTCGACACGGAAGATTTCAGGAGCGTCTGGCTATAAAGCCAGAAAAGATTTTTTTGAAAACAAAAATTTAAATAATAATTCGGATATAGCAATTCCCATAACTACCCAACAGATAGTAAGATCATCAATAATAAACCGCCGTGCTTCATTTGAAGTGAATGATGATAAAAAAACACTATTAAAAGACAAAACCAACGTTCCAAAACAAACAACGCCAGATACAAAAAATAGATCGCATGACCGAATAATCGAAAGCCCGACAAATATTATGAACACCGATTTATTCGATATCAGAGTTGAGGAAATCAATAAATCTAGAAGAATTTTGGAATCAAAGACTATGAAAGATAGAAAAGCAGCTTTCGAAAAGATCGATGTTGCTGAAAAACCAGCTAGGCCACATAAATTTACCCTAAAGAGCCAATCTCCAATTTCCGTAATGAATACAGATAGACTCTTAGAAATGTATACTAAATCAAGTGTGGTTCCTGATAAACCTTCAGAGAATGTCTCCAGTAGAAGAGTTACAAGTCTGAATATCAGTAAGAAACGCGCGGAAAAAACTAAAACCATTGACTCTATCAATAATGTTAGTGACAGTGCAGACGGAACAGTTTCGTCAAACAGTGCGGACAGAAATGTTAAAGAAACTCCGGAAAGGAGTACGGCCAAGTGTTTTGAAGAAAAACCAACGGATTCGAAAATCGATACAAGCAGAAATCGTAATGAACAATATACAGCAACAGAAACTGTATCTGTACCAATAAATACTTCAAATGTAATTAAATCTACTACAGTTCATACTGCAAATGATGAAACACAGAATCTTTTAGAGCTTATGGTGAATATTCAAATATAATATATATAATAATATTTATTACTATTATGATAAATTAATAATGTCAAGATAATAGCCTGGTGAGGTGAATTTAATAGCATGTAATTTCTACTTCCTTAAAATAGTTATCAAGATACGAAAATTACACATCTGTGTGTATGTAGTCTATCTACTACGCCGTAAAATAAAGTGTAAAACTTTTTAATCACAACAGAATTGTCAGATTATATTATTATAGAGAGATACATTAATTTATTTATTTAACGAACGCTAATACTCGTGTTTTTAAAGAATTGCCCAAAAGAAATGTAAAATATATATTTGAGTAACATAAAAACAAAAATAAATAATAAAATAATGTTTAAGTTTAAGTCAATTTTGCTAAACTGCATTAAATTCCATTTTGTTTTTCAATACGTGTTTTAAAAAACAATAAAATGTAAAAAAAAATGTCGGATAATGGGGACAGTTGCGGCCGCTATTATAGGTTGGTAGTTAGGAAGGTGGGATACATAGTTATTAAATTTATACCTGCAAGCACAAATTAAAAACAATGAAATCGATAATGGCGAGCCGAAAATATTTGTCGTTTTATCTATAATTTTCTTTCCGGATTTTTCCAATAAATCAATATCAAGTGTACATCAGAACAAGTTTTTTTTTTAAAAAGTTGTTTAATGATAGAAAAAAAAACCACACATAGTAACGCTATGCTGCGAATCTAAAATTATTTTGATATAAGTATCTAAACACTTCTATGTATTTATTTATTTTTAAAATGTATCGATCAAGTATTTATGTGTTGAACAAATAAAACAATTTCTCATTCGATATAGTTTTTTTTATACTTATTATATTTTAGA